AATTGTTCTTTTGTCGGCAGTTGCATGTTTTCTTGTCCTTTGTGTTGTTTGCGGTGTCGTTGTCGTTGTCGTCTCTCGGTGGATGTAAAATGCTCTTGTTATGATTGTCAATGATTCGTTTGGCATTGTTCATGCAGCTGTAACTGATCTTGATGATGAACACTTTCCTAGAGGCCATAATCTTAGGAAAGTCTTTAATCGTAACACCATCTTCCCCTGAAGAGTGAAGCAATTCACGAAACAGGCTTGTCGGGAAAAATGTTGTCTTGACTTTTTCTTCTCAAACAAATATATACTATATATATATATATATATATATATATATATCACTAGTGCTGAAAATATTTAAAACACTGGTGATGAAGATGATTTTTCATTAGGTTTCAAAACCCATCCACATGATCCGAAAAGTGCCCATCCATTGGTTGCTGAGCTTATGAATTATTAATGAGTTTGAGAAATATATATCACTCTGTTTTTTGTATTGAGTTTTGTTGTTACCGGGACATATTTACCACATACTGTAATTCACCATATTTGCGAAATAAAGCAGTAAAGCAGGCACAGCCGTTATTTCTTTTCTTGCATGGGTTCTATATTAAGAGCGACTGTACAGAAATATCGAGCAAAATCGAAAATTTGTGGCCACAATCAAAAAAATAAAAGTCCTTCATTTTTGGTCTGTAGACACTATTTGATGAGTTTATGAACGTACTGGGGTCGGTTTTTCGACCTACGTAAAAAATCCGGATTTTTTTGAGAAAAAAAACGATTTCACCCCGTGTCGGTCTAAAAATTGCTCAAGAAACGGCTGCGAATTACGCTTTCAAAAACATTCTCGCTCCAAGTGAAAACCCAAGTTACGATCAAATTTGCAACTGAATTCAAGAAAAGGGGTGTTTAACAATTGTTCCAGGTGAATTTAGACGTTTTAAACTAAACTTTAGATAGAAAAAATTGCATTCTTCCAGCACAGTAATTGACAGTCTTGTAAAACACTGATTTTACCTCACATTTATAAAAGCGATTTTTTGCATGTGGCCATTCTCCAATTTTTACAAAACTCAAGCTGTACAATGTTTAAATGATAGAATAACGCGAACTACAAAAATTAGTTTGGGTTTTTCCACAGGCCTTATGAAAACTTCATGTGAAGTTGGAAAAATTTGCCATGTAAATATGCAAATTAGCAGTTTGTTTACATCTCCACACCACAGATCACGGCCGCGAAAAAAGTCATCTAAAATAGTTTTAACAGCTTATTAATCCACACATTAGCCTATCTAAGGACTATCTAAGCATGATTGGCCTTTGTTATTATTTTAAATGATTATTTGTTGAAGTTAAGCCTACATTTCCGGTGTTGAAGACACTCAGCTTGCTTGCCTCGGTGGCATTCCATCGGTGCGTAGTAAACTTAGTAATCATAAATGACTGTTAACATGCTCTATAAACGTTACTATTCCTCACTAGTGGTATCCAGCTTATCACATAGTATTTTCACATACTGAGTATAAGCTTGAAAGTTTGCATTACTTCGTAAATAAGCAGGGGTCAAACCTGTCAAAGCGGATTATGTGAGCTGATGGCGTGACAAACRACAGTTTGCGCGGAGCCGGACGTGACGTCGTTTGGTACAGTACGTTTTTTATTGCCTGAACATCTTGTGATTTGACATAAACTAAAGAGAATCACTCGTTATCAAGACTCTCTATGAGCTTTCAAGGATATTGTTCTTTACGACAAAAAGATCCCGATTCGAATAAGGCTGCGTTCATATTGTATGGCAGAAGGGGCGGGGACAGATGAAATCTTTAAACGACAAAAAAATTCTTAAGACCACCCCTTGAAGTCCCCCAAATAATAACGTACCCCCCCCCCCCTGGCAATCTCTCGTAGCTTCTTCTAAAAATTTTGTCAGTACGTTCATAAACTCATCAAATAGTGTCTACAGACCAAAAATGAAGGACTTTTATTTTTTGACTGTGGCCGCCCCGTGCTCGATATTTCTGGGCAGTCGCTCTTAAACAGCTAAAGCAGTCTCAGTTTGGATATAATTCGGATGCATGTTCTATAAAAGATTAATAGAAAGAATGAAGAAACATCAAAATCAGGCAATGCGTTTTATGCAGCTAAAAAAACAATAGAACAGCACGCATTCAAAAAAAATACGTACTCGATGAGTACATGTGTCTACTGCTGATAGATATACAGCAACATATTTGAATCATGTATGTGTAAAATATTCACTTGCAGGTATTCAGGGCTCAATATTCTGCTTACGGAGCTCAGTTGTCCCTTTAAAGGGCTCAAATATTGTCACTGTGAAAATCTGAGTCAGTTTCACATTGCATCGGTTCTGTAAAAATCGACGTAAAAATCATCGTTTATGAAGCGCCATTGTTGACATGCTTCGTGTAGCACAAACACACCAATTCTGTCGCCGTTTTTTGCGATAAATTCTTTCTAGATATGCAAATACCTGAAAGCACTTTAATTATACAACACTTGACACATATTCGATGAAACCTGTGTGCCTAGCTTGTTCCAAAAAACAGATAAAATTCACTACAAAAATGAATGCGATTATCTTATGGAAATCACTGAATCCTACCAAATCATGTTTGAAACGTTGGTCAAACGTTTTCCAGTCGATAAAAAGTCGTAAGCAGTCGCAAACAGAGCAACTAAGTTGACAGTCCAGTACGCGAGACTTCGGATAACATATATCGGCTGTCCTCGCCATGCGCCGCTGGCTGTGCACGTGGGATCCGAAAGTAATCCGAAGTTTTACAACCCTTACACCGGGATGAACTTTATGTCAGTTATACCGTATGTCATTTAACTATATTTTTTGCTAGTTAAATAGAATATGAAGTACATCCCGGTAAACTCGATGGCATAGCGTCTGTTGCTTATTAATATGCAGTGTAGACACAAAAATGAGAGCGAAATTGGATCTAATTTTAGCACGGAAAAATCATTGTTTAGTGTTACCGTTTCTTTATTAATAATTAGTTAGTTAATTAATTCAAAGAAAACTTATTTAATAAAGAAAAGTTTACATAATTAAATAATTTAAATGAAAATAATATAATAAGTAAAGTAATTAATTTGGTCGGTGGGTCGGTGGGTCGGTGGGTCGGTGGGTCGGTGGGTTGGTGGGTCGGTGGGTTGGTGGGTCGGTGGGTTGGTGGATTCGTGATCGTGATTATTAGATGAATAACACTAAGTTCTTAAATTTCTCAGGTTGATACCTACCGAAGTCTGATCCATCACGTAGCATTACTTCTTGGAGGACGTACCAACCTGCAACAGAAAATACAGGAGTTGATTGATTTTGAAACGAAACTTGCAAATGTACGTAACAAAAAAAAAACTTTATTTGTCGGATAAATTTATATGATAACTATGTAAGTCGAGTAATAGCAGAGTGGGTTTCCTATACGACCAATGTATGAATCACATCTTTTGCCTTACTTGTATTTTTTAATGACAAACGGCCCAGATAAAACAACATAAGTTAACTAAAAAGCTCTATAAAATTACGATGGGTTCTTCACCTGCACCCGCTTCCTCGCACGAAATAGGATCTGGGCTATCTTATTTAATATATATATATATATATATATATATTTTTTTTTTTTT